ATTTAAAACTTCACAGTCGCTTTGACATTTGACAGAGTCTGCTGCTACTGAGTATGGATGGAGTTTGCTAAATCCTGCTTGTGCTTTGCTGGACTCGGACTTGCAACAGAAACGCATCTGATATCCCCTCAGCTTTGCTCTGTGGATAAATCTACAGCTCAATTTATTAATAATCCTTATCAGCAATCACTTGCAAAAGGATCATCAATATTTTCAGACTCAACAACTATTAAAAGCTATGGCTGCAATTCACAAATATTAATTCTGGTCTCATCCTATTTACAAAGCAATTAACGCCAAATGCACACAAACGAAAGTATGAAAGTTTGAGTTATTTTTGTGCCGTCAGAATATTACTTTTTCCATTAACATACCATAAACAAAGAGGACAAGAAAATCAGTAAGGTTTAGTAAAAGTTCTGGTGCTAGGAATACGAATAAAACTTCTTCACAGGTTGTAATAGCAAATCATGTCAATATCTGTAAATGTCTATTTTGTGCCTTCAAACTATTAAGGAACATGTTCACAAACTTGTTGCACAATTTTATCTGTGCTGGTTTTTAATCAAAGATGTGCTGTCAGACTTTCCTATTCATAATCTCAATATAAATACTTCAAATCTGCCTGGGTTACGGTTTATTTACATGGCAGCCACATTAAATATTAAGCTCTGTGCTGCTTGGATATCTTCAATTTTCCAAGTTCTATTTAAGACTTTAGAGGGTGTTTTTGTTTCATTTTCAAAAAATTTGATTACCTATTACAAATATATTGCCAAGGGATATATATATATTTTTTTTAGTTCTGTTCATAAACCTCTTGATATCAAAAACTATTTGTTGTAACATTAATTAATTTAACATTAAGTTTGATGTGTATGGAAACATAAATGTAAACAGAAATCACAGTTCTGTAAAAAATTCAGACTTTGGGGATTTATTTAACACCAGTATATTAAATACCGTACAATCATATGCCTGGTGCAATAAAGATTAATGTGCCGTTTGTTACTTATTTGTCCTAATTTGCATTGTTAGAATGCATCCATCCCTTTACACCTTCCCACCAGTGTTAACCTGTAGAGTATTTAAAATCAATCAATCTGAACTGCAACAGATCCTTTCCAGTACAAAAACTAAAATACTTACATTGATAAAGTCTGAATTGACTAACTGTATGGTGAACAAAAGGAGTATTTTAAATAGCTGCTTGACATTAGGAAACATTTATAATTTAATAAGCCTAAATGAGTAGCTAAATCAAAACTGGAATACTCTATACTGATGAATTTATTAATTGTTTTTCCTGAAACCTCTTAACTCTGTTTTCAAAACAAACAATAAATAAATAAAAATTCTCTCCAAAATAGAGCTTAAATCATGCATCATTTCATCTTGTGAACTGGATGAATTGTCACAGCCCCAGCCTCCATCCTTTAAAATCCCTCTTTCTTCGGGGATGGCGTTGCCCTCGGCCAGAATCTGGAGCGATAGAAGCACTGGTTGCTTGGTAACAGGTACAAGTTTAGAGTCCTGCATGATCGTGATGACCAGGGCGAGAGGACAGCCTGACAAGCCTGTAATGCACATATACATGTTTCTTTTAGGATTGGGGATTGGACCGAGCTGTCAGCAAACTCCTTGGGGCACGAGTGACATTAAACAGCACAAGTGCCTGAGAGATCGATGCAGGTGCAGCCACACTTTTGGAGTTTTCTGTAAAGCTGCGCAGGTCCACGTATGAGACATTCAGCATCAAAGGCTGTGAAACCACAGAGTGAAGGCGGGAGCTGTGAGGAAGCCTTGAACTTCACAGGCTTTCTAAACATGGAGTCCCTCACTGCTGCAGGGGTCCGTGGCAGCCAGCATGCCAGATTTGTTTCATAGACAAATAAATGCAAACTGCAACAGCTCACGCACATGGCAAATGCGGCATCATCATTAAATGCTGGCAGGGTAATGTTGGGTTTGTAATCTGGTTTTCCCATAAACTCTGCAGTTTATAGCCTGCATCAGGTTCTGGTTCTTTTATAGGGATGAAACAATTCACAATCTCCATGTCAAAGTGAAAGAGGAGTCTCCAGGATGTCACCCATCTGATCGCAGCATGAAACCTCGTCTTACACATAACTTGCCTCCTTATTTGGTCGTAATGAAAAAGTCTGTGGATATGAAGAATGGTAAAGAGAGATTGTACAGTGATAGAGCTGATATCAGAAGTACTGCTGAAAAATTAACTAAAATATTGCATGTATATATAAATATATTTAATGTAAAATATATGTAATGCACTGTGAGTATCAATGCTCATTAGGCAGGTTTTGTGTCTGCACACTGTACTGTACCAAATATTGCATCAAAGCAGACCTTTGCGATCACACTATTGAACACACTCACACTCCGATGATGGTTAAGATTTTATAAATTGCGCATCTCCATTTTCTGCTATTTCATCACTGTGTTCAGCGTGTTGATCTGCAGATTTTCGATGTCAAAGACTGAAGTGCATCTTAATTGAAGTGTATGTCTTGATGATCACGATTTCAATCCCCAATCTGCATCGGATGTCTAGTAAGATGATTTGAAAGTTACAGATTGTGAGTGACAGAGAGTGGTGAGGAGTCGGGAGGGAGTGAGGAGTATCGACTCTTCACCATGCTGTTTGGACACACCACAAATCCCCAAACAAGACAGGCAGAGAGAGCAAAGCTGTCTTTCAGCACTTCGATGAGTGTGAATTTTAAAAATTAATCTGAAGCTCAGCTGGCCTTTTAAGACTTCAAGGGCCCACTTTAAAGTTTCTAGAGTGCTTGTATTAGTTTCATTTCAAGATGCTTTTATTTTAATTATCTCTCCTTTCTGTCTTCAGCATTACACTTCTGTTTTCTTTCGTCTGCACATGAAATGAAAGCCCACTGATCTGCATTAGTGTACTTCTCTATGGGAAAGTTACCTTTTGTTTCTTCAGTCAAGATCTCAAGATCTGATATTATCAAAACAGATTTTTTAGCAACTGCATTTATATCAGTAACAGTAACAAGGACTTGGATTTCTTAATAAAAACTATGATAATTCATTTTTATAAGAATTGATTCTGACTAACATTTTGCCATGACCATGCAAATTCATGAACAGCCTTATGTGTGTCACTGTCAACTCCATGTACTTTTATTTACAGTAGGATGACTCCTACCGGATCAAACCAAGACTTCTCACACAAAAGGTACAGAGATAAAGCAACAAAAGAGTTGGTGAATGACAACAGGGGTTATTAAAAAGATGGAAGGTGTATTCAGCTCATCTTTCACCCACAGTCAATGTGCCTACGCAAAAAGTTACAGAAACTAAACCCTATTGAAACTGTATCCCATTGCTGTCTGTCTCTGGCAGCATCAGCAAGCTTAGCTGCAGTTCAAAATGCACCTGATGTATCACTGCATGCATAATAGATTGTTTTTTTTTTCTCCTTTTGTTTATTTTGCTTATAAACGGTTGGCTACATTTATGGGCACCCCTTGTAAAGGTGCAAAAATACCTCAAATTAGTCAAATATTGCAGCAGCACAATTTCACACAGAAAATAATTGAAAAATCCAACCTTTGTTTTTTTTGGGAAATATTTAGTCCCATCAAAATCACCAGAGATAAAGTTATGGGAATTCCTTAACCATGCCTAAGAAATTAAAAAAAAAAAAAAAGAACAAAAGTTTCTAGAAACTTTTTAATCATGAGTAATTAATTTCTGGTTCCTTGCGGTCAAGTTTTTTCTATCACAAAGACCAAATTTCCGTAAGGCTCTGGTTAGGAGAATGGAAGAGAAACCATATTTGTCTTGCTCCCCATCACAGTGAAGGAAATGCTGAGGGAGATTTTAAAAGAAAGAGAAAAAGAAACAATACTTCAAAGCTCAATGTTAGAGAACTGCATCAAAGAGTGGTCCCTACATCACCATTTTCTAGAGAGGTGATATTCGGTCACTTTTAAATGTGTCCTTTTCAGCTGTAGAAAAAAGCTGAATTACCATCGCAGCACGTAGTCGGGTTCTACACAGACCTGATAATGACTCAAGTATTTGGATCAGGTGTGTTGACGCAGATACATTTATAACAGTGGCAGTACACTTTCTTACCACATGTTCTTCAAGGTTATGAAATCTAAATGAAGAAAACTACGTGGTGTCTTTTTGCCAAAGGGCAAGTCGAGGCATTCACACGGCTAATTGTGCCATTGGTGCTTTTAATAAAACAATTATTTTGTCTCCACAGAATAAATCTACTCATATTAATCAGTGTGAGATTACACTGGATTGATTTAAAGTCTTTTTCACACATCTTTGCTTTACTAGGGGTGCCATATAACGTTGCACATAAAATTGAAATTATTTTGTTTTCACATTCATTCCACCTTCCATTCAAGATCAACATTAATTGTTTTAAATAAGCTTGGAGAAGATATAAACTTCATCTGTGTGAAGAGAAAATCCCACAGTTACAATCATTACATGAAGAGGCAAAAAAAAAAAAAAAAATATTCAACTGCAAACTTATATTGACAATTTCACATTTGCATGTCTGTGTAATCAGTCGTCAGGCGGTGAATGGGTGGTTCAAATTTGCAGGTCACTTCTGAATCACTACACTGCAGTGTCAGACATGCTTGTGACACCAACAGCAGAGGCGGGGGGACTGCAGCACAACAAAGGGAAAAAACAAACAGGTCTCCAAGGTGATTGTGGAGATTTCTGAGAATGAAACCAATGTGCTTATTATGAGAGTGGCAGGCTAAATAGGATGGAGGATGAGCCAGGAGTCTGATGGAGCACAGTAATCACCGGCAATTTGCCGACCTTTGTTTCAGCACACAAACACTTTATATAATGTATCTGATAGATGTTGGTCTGTGGCTGACGACTGGAAAGAACGGTCAAACAAAGAATCCTGATATTGGTTCAAACACAGCAGAAATACACGGCAAAAGTAGCGATGGGTAGGTTCTGTGTACCTGTGGCTGGGTCAACAGTTCGCTCAATCAAGTGGTCGTCCTGGTGAACCCATTCTCCGTTGCACTTGAAGTAGATCTGTGTGGCTGGGGTCGAGCGGCAGGACAGGGTCACAGGCTTGTTCTTCACTATGTATTCGTCCTCGGGCTCCACCAGGAAGTGAGGCAGGAGGTCTGAGAACGCAGCGGGAAGTGCTGCTGTGGCCGGATGCTCCGAACCTTGGAGAATAAAAGAAGAGAGACAGAAAATGAAATACATTTCCAAGCTTTTGAAGTTGTGTCCATAAGGCAAACACTGAGCCTATTTGTTGTAACTGCTGAGCGAAGATCAAATGCAGAGATTCAGCGCCCTTGGTAAATTTCAGCTCATATGCATGCACGCGGGACGAGACAGTAGAAGACAGACAGACAAAGAGAAGGAGCAAGACAGATTTGTATGGTGTGGAGTTAGCAGTGACAGTGCTCAGCCTTGTGTGCTCCTGGCTGGGTCACAGGGGCAGCGCAGTCCATGTCTTCACTTTGGCTCTTAATCACAGCCCTTTTAACATCAGCGCTGATGGACCAGCAGCCATAAATCCTGCCTCAGTGACAAGACTACTTCACACTGTGTTATAGTGCTTTTCTGCCAGGACTCTAACCCAGCCTGCATTAAGCTCCGCACCACAGATAGGACAGAGTCTCAAGATAGGTCACAGTTAAAACAGCCCGCTGACTTAAAATCACTTATCTCCACATGTTTCTAATTACTTAATTCTCCTGTATGATAACCTCGGCACATGGAGGAAAAAAAGGGGAAGATACAGCAATGTGCAACAGGGTTCAAACCACTGGAAGTTTTCATGATTTGTCGTGTTACAACCACAAACCCTATTGGGATTTTATGTGGCAAACCAACACAAATGGACAATCAATTGGGAAGTGAAAGGAATGCTTTTTTAATACTTTCTATTCCTTTAGCACCTCACTTACTTCATGTATTCTTCACTTAATCTTTACACATCATGTATCGCTTATTTGCTTTGACTTATTCCTCAGTGTGGATTACTTGGGCTTTTGTCGTCTTGTGTGAATTTTATGTCGCCTACCTCATGAGAGTTTTGTATTTAAAAAGACAAACATGACAGTGTCTTCAATGCTTATTTTTTTCACATGTATTTACTGCTACTTATTTTTTACTCCATACATCTAAGTAAGTTTGCAAAGCTCTGTAAGTCGTCTCTATACCTACGGAGCTGTCGTTGCTTGGAAAATTCACTACAGTGTACGACAGACTTCTGTGCTTCCTAAAAAATGTTTAAAACAAACACATGATGACACAAAACTGCCTGCAGCGCACAGATCCTTCCTCTATGAACACGCTTTCTCTTTCTCTAAACATATTAGCCCTGCTTGAGAGATAGCAAGCAGACATAGAACAGAGCAGAAAGAGGGGAAATAACCTCTTTACACTGCCGACACACAGGGGAGATCAGTAAATCCCAAAATAAAACCCCTTTAAAAGGAGCGCAATATTAATTTACTGCCCTGAATCCAATATGGCTGACAGGCCAGACATTAACAACCTTCTCCATCACTCCCCGTGCAGCAGGAGAGGAAAAGGAGTCCGCATCTCTCATAATGAAACGGCAGCACTCATCCTGACCTTTCTCTCCGCTTCTCGTCCCGTTGTCCCTCCCCCACCGAGCCTTTTGTTCCTCCTAAGAGCACGCTGAAGCTTTCGTTGGGGATTACATGAAGTTGTGTTATAAATACCAAACTAGATAAATATGTTATCTGACAGTTGCTTCCCCTCCACACATCACGTAATGTCTTTCTTTACTTACATGTTTTTTTTTCCCTTTGCTTCACCCTTGTGCTGAGTTGCTAATTCATCAGGATGAGATTCAGAGAGGCGCGCCGGCGCTGCTGTCGCTGAACCCCATTAATGTTTCGTGTACGTGTTTAACTCTTAATGAAAACTAAATGTTCTGTGTCCAATGAACGACATACATCACTTGCTGACACGTTGCCATTTTCCCTGTTTCTCCCGAGCACATTTTGCATATTGTACGCGTTTGCAGAGAAAAACATGGCAGCTCTTCTGTGCATGACAACACAACCGCCTGACATTATTTACTCCATATCCAAGCGTGTCTCCTGTCTCTTGGTGTCACGGAAAAGGCCACAGTTTATCATGAATAGTGACTATAATTGCTCTAAAGCGAAGCCAAAACTTTGCTAATAAACAGCGGGGGAGCAGCAGGTCAGGTTGTTTGAAAATGTGTTGGTCCTAATGATGGCGGCTTCTTCTAATGCGTGACTTTCAGCTTCGTGACCACGACTATTAGTTGGCTGAGCTGACCTTCCCTCACATCCCCTCCAAAAAAACTCTGCAAGCTAAAAAGATGGGCTGAAAGATGAAGACTGTGGGAGAGACCTGCCACACACCTGCCAGGTTAATCGTTTCTTAAAAGACAGATGATATTCGAGCAAGGAGAGGGAGAGAAAGAGAGCGAGAGAAAAAAATCCCCAACGAGCTGCAAGTAAAGCTTGATGTTGTTAACATGCCACTGCTTCTCATTTGCAGGGGTCACAATTGGCATGAACTCCTAACTTTTGATGATGTTTCCAATTTGTATTTGTGTGTGGGTGCATGGCAGTGCACTTCAAAGGAGGTGGGGGGTAAGCCTCCCATTTTATTGCATGTTCTTTAGGTTAATGAGGTTAAATACGTAATTTCTTTGGAGAAGTAAATTATCATTTTATGGGAGGGCATTCCAGTCACGCACTACTTTATGTCAAACTCATAATGAAGGGCTGATGGTGACTAAATTGGCTTAGATTATTGTCATGGCACAACATTTCTTCAAAGTCATTCTACACACAAACACACAGAGGGAGTATAAGCCACTTAGCAGACTTCTTGCAGGTCAATGCACACGCTAAATAAACATACTATAGCTCCATAGGCTGTGAATTATATTTCTCTCTGAGTGGGAGTGGCTTAGGCCAACATCATGTGTCAAAAACATACAAGGTCATTGACAGGTCATTGCATACGTGCATAAACAACAAACACCAGAGGCTAAATGTCTCCCTGCCTAATCAGGCAGCCAATGAAGATGATTTATCCGGTGCAATATGCCGGATGTGATGCAGGAAGGCTGCAAACCATGATGTTTGAAAGAAACGTGTAAGGTTTTGAACTCATATTTGGCTCCTGCCGCTTCGTCAGAGACAATTCAGCTGGCAAAACACACAAACACACACGCACATATTGCTAAACACACAGAACACGGATGCTCCAGCTGTCAGTGTGCTGAGCCATGATGTCCAGGGCAGATTTCCTGCTGCAAACAGACTCCATGTCTCATCTGTCCAGCTGACCATGTCAACTCCCAAGTCAGGGGCACATCTACAGGAGGAGCATGAGGAGGACGTGATGAAGTGTTTGTGATGCAGGGAGAGAGACAGCTGCATATGCTTCTAAAACCCAAAATAGAATAATGTAACCGCAGTAGAGCTGGGTGATAAAGAGGCAAAATGCTATTACAAAATTGTTCACAATACAACGAATTTAAGCTATGAATCTTCCACAAGCACAAATATTGCTCTAGCGCTATGGAAACTTAAAAAAAAAAAAAACAATGCTTGTACCATCCAAGCATGATGTTGTGGGGTTGTTGTGCAGCAGGAGGAACTGGTACACTTTATGAAATAGAGGAAAGAACATTTTATAGAAAAACTGGACCAAACTTCTTAAAGAGTCGGCTATGATCTTCTGTCTGTCTTAATTATAAAGTGACTTAAGGACAACAGAGTCATTGTTCACAAAGTCCTCAATTCTATGGAGAAGTTGTAGTAAGATCTGACAAGGCGAGTGTGAGTCGGGCTACAAACCTGACAATACATTTGTGGCAGCAACAATCCCATCAGTCATGATTTCAAAACATAACACATTATCAATTTATTGAATGTGTCAGGGGGAAAATACTTTACACAGCAGTGCTAACAAGCCAATCACTTTTTTCCACTAAAGGACAAGTCAGTGTTATTCCAGTTCCCCATTCCAAATGATTAAACATTACCATGCCTAAACCATAAAGTTTTTAAAACAAGAATTTATTTTAAGAAGTGTTTTTGCACTTCTCCAATTATCTATTTCACATTTTTTTGAGCTGTATTATCTCCAACTGATTTTTCTTTCTGTACACACCAATAAAACCACATTCCACATATTCCACATGCATATGCTCTTTTATCCTCCACTGCTGCTTGCTGTCAACACGTCTTACCACCATCTGTAAAACATGCATGTATTTTTTATTTTTTTTTTAAATTTAACTCCTATCTGCTTGTAAAACAAAATTGCAAAATGCACTGCTGTTACAGCACAGGCATATCAGCAGGGTAGAAAATCTTAGCCGACGAGGAAATATAACTCTCTTTTGTATTTCTCCCTCACGGCATCAACACATCATGTGCCCTTTGGAGCCAATTACAATTTTTTTTTAAACAACATCATGTCCCTGAAGGAAGGCATCATTGAGCAATCACTGGGCGTAATTTACATCACAATGATGAACAGCAGCTGTAACAAGTGCTTTATGACACCATCAGTCCTTACGATGTTCCCCGAAATTAATTCAATTAAACTTACCAGCCAGAGTATTAAACAAATTCAAGTTTAGCGGCCATTAACGGGCAAAGATTTCTCATCCGCTGATGTTGATGTTTTTTCTCTAAATCCCCGCTTTGTTCGAGTGGCGTTCTGCCTGATTTTAAAGCACTCACTGTCTTTGTTTTGTAATCAATCCAAGTCTGATGTTTGTGCATAATGGTTCTAGGAACAGCAGCAATTTTCAAACATTCTTGGAAATACCATCCATAATCCAATGACAACATTTATACGGGGAGTTATCAAGCACACGAAATGAAGTGGAATCGGATGTGCAAGAGGGAGAAAAAGCTCCATCCACCTTCATATATAAACTGAAGAGTGGCTAACTGATTTATGTTTGTCCCCAAGATGACAAATATTTACCCCTCCGCATGTCTGCAGTTCAGAGTACATTTTTCATTGAGACAACCATGCTTCAGCAAGCACTCCTTCACAGACCACAGGCACTGGTTCTATGTCAAACACACACACACATACATACGTAGAATCCGAAAACACAAGCACACACGTTTCCAAAACATAATAAAAATAAGAAAAAAAATTCAAGAAAGCAAATGAG